GGCTTGTTAGGCCCAAGGTAATCTTCACTTGGAATGCTCTATCATGAAGAGAAGGTCTTAGTTCTACTTGTTTATATTGTACAGTTCATGCATAGTTTTTGTATAGGTTATTTTTGCCTTTGTATTGTGAGGCACTTTATTTGCTTTTTCCTAGTGATTGTATATTGTTTTTAAGGTAGGTTTCTTGGAGAGTTTAACTCCATTTAACCTCCCTAGTTGATACATTCATTTTGTATTTTTTCAGTAGGGAAAAGGGGGTGACATTTAGCAATGCTTGAGGGTGTGCTTAGAAATTGGGCCTGAGTTGGGCCTAGGCAAAATTTTGTAGAGGTCCCACCGACCTCCTTCTCTCCCCTCTTTCTTTTCATGTGCGTCTTCAGGGGGCCACATCCTCCTCTTGAGGCTCTGAGACCTCAATCTCGGCAACGTTGTAGCGGTGCTTCAACTCACGCCACTTGTTCCTGCCCATTATGCCTGCGAACACAAGAAATTAGATACATCAGTAACAGAAACTCCTACAAACCCTTAAAAGAAAGATGAGATGCTCACTCTCTAAGTCCTTCTCCTTATACGTCGAGTTGGCAAGCAACAGGACGAGCTTGCAATCCAGCGGACAAGGGAGCGCTTCAAGGTTTGCAATGGCGGTGGCATCCGAGGCCGACAATTGCAACTCTCCCACTCCGTGAAACCTAGCCGGGTCCGGCCGCCAGTAGAAGGGAAACTTCGGCAACCCACCGAAATAGAATGCCCCATCCTCTAACGGGTTGACATCCACAAGCTCCACCCGGAAGAACTCTTGTTAAATTTTTTATACGACTGGGAGTAAAGGGAAAAAAGACCCCCAGCCTTACTCCCATTTAGGGACATCAAGCCATAAGGAGGAACACCCATTTTTAACTGGTAAAAATGGAGAAAAACGGGCAGAGACACCTCTATCCCCAAGGCCGAACACAGGACTTGGAAAGCCCTAAAAAAACCTCAGCTATTAGGGTGCAACTGGCAAGCAGCCGAGTTGATGAAATTCAAAAAGTCACACTCAAATTGAGTGAAAGGAAGACAGACACCTAAATCCCTAAAGAAACACTGGTATACATAAAAGAAAGGAGGGTCAGAAGGACCCCCCACATAGACACGCTCATCAGACCGACAAGGCTCAAGCCGGATGAACTTGGAGACGGAAGAGTCATAGATCCTATGCGACTTTCGAATCGCGTTGATCTCCATGAACGACCTGAACACACTCTGGAACTCCCCCACGTCACTCCTGACCCAATCGTAGCCAGGAATTCCGGGGATGGGCTCCTTAGGCTGGTTATCCGCCTTTTTCTTGGGCTCTTTACACATGACTCTAGACAAAACATATGATTCAAAAACAAAAACATACACTAAGTATTGTCAATGTCCAATCACGGGCTCATGCTTATAGGAATAGAGAGACTCAAGCAAAAATAAAAGCACAAGCACATGAACCTAAAGCACAAACCGAATTGATTCAAGGAATTAGGAACAAGCAAAAATCATGAATCAATCATTTCATATGTGACATAAGGATCCATCAAAAATTTTAGAAAACCTAGATCCATACAGAAAACACAACAAGACATGTAATAGGAGGAAGATACAACACGGATTCTATTAGAAAAAATTAGAGACAAAAACCTCAAGAGCACTAGGCTCTAATACCAAAAATGATGGAACTAGGTGAGGAGATTGATGTTCCTCCACTTTGCTCCATGCTTAGGACCGAATCTCTTGAGGTAGACCTTGGATCAAAGCTTGAAAACTCCTTGAAGAAATCTTCAATGGAGGTGATGCCTTAGAAGGAGGTTCGGTTACTTCCTTTGGATGAAGAAGCTTATAGAACCTAAGCTAAGGTTTGAAGAACTTTGGAGAGAACTTAGGAGAGAAAGTTCCTCACGGTTTTGGACTCTTGAATTTGAGAGAAAAATCTGAAGATTGATTCTCATTTATGTCAAAAGTGAGTACAAGTGTAGGAAAATCAAATATATAGGGAATAGTAGCTTGTAGGAGAAGTTATCCCTAACCATGGTTCATTAAGAACCATGGTAGGATTAACTTAAACTCCTACGGTTTAGCTAGCTTCTAGGAGAAGCTAAACCTTGACCATGGTTCTTTTAGGAACCA